ACAATTTTTCTCTCTGTTGTCTTTACTCACTACCAGTATGGATTTATCAATACATTTCCTAAAATAGGAAGTTTTCTAGCATGTATCAGTATGGTTCACAAGTTAAATATATTATCACTAAAGCATTTCAAGCATAATGCATTTTGTAAAGGTGTGTGATTATGTGCCTCTGAAAAAGTCATTCTATTGGGGACTTGGCCTAGCCCAATCTCTCAAAATGAGTGTACAGTGAACGGCTTAAATAAAGAGAAATGATGGAATATGGTGTATGGGGCTTCAGAAAGGTAAAAATTCTCTGGGAGTAAAGACAACAGCTTCTCTGGACATCCCATATATATTTGGTTTTCAAACAAAGGAAGGGGATACTGAGACAAGACAGAAACTGAGCACGACCTTGGGAAGTTAGTTCAAAGACTTCAAGCAGTAAATTTTGACAATTAACTGACAGGTCTGATCTCTGAGTTCAACAGTTTTATTGTTCTGAAATAGGGAGTGTCAGCAGCCCAAGTCCACAGCTGACTGCAGAGCACTGTGCATAGATGCTTTCCAATACATCCAGAGAGATTCTGTTCATAAACTTAACCCTTAACACAGCCTGGTCTCCAACATGATTCCATTATGTATGCTGACATTTTATGGATCAGTTGTGCCATGTCTAAAGTGTGGTAAGGATATAATAAATCACCTATTGAACATTGGTGATGTGAATATACAATACACAGAGGCTTATTTTCCCATCAATCACATTTGTGTGTTGGAAATTTTTATGATAAAAGTTTAACTATATATAGTACATGGAAAACCACTGCTGCTGCTTACCCTAAATAGTAAAACATCGATCACCATGTTTGGGCACAAGTTTTTTCTCTAATGAAATACCAAATATAGTTTTTAATACTTCATCTACCTCTTCCTCCTTCAGAGTCTTAAACTCTACCAGATCTACATTGTTCTCATAATTGAATTTCCTATGGGTGAGGGTCCAGCCCACTAAACAGTGAACCCCTTCAGGTGTCTGCAAGGAACAAAAGGATGTGCTTGTAAACACAGGTGCTGGGGATGTCTGAAGGAAAACATTTACCGACTCAAAATCTTCAATTGTTCGAGGTTCAAGAGTAAAGGAATAGATTTTCCGGTATTTTCCCATTTCTAGAAGATCTGAATTAAGAAATTCTTGGTGAGGAATGAGTTGCTCTCTTCTGATTTGGTCCAGGTACCAGGTTCCATTTTCTTCTGTCAACCGGAAAATGGCAGGCACCTGAGGCTGATCCTTCCCAGAAATTAATTCCAGAGGCTCCCAGATCTGGTAGGAGCATCCAAAGCCAGCATCAACAATGTAGTTTCTGCCATTGATGGTCACCTGAACTAGAAGGTGAATCATAGTGCTATATTTATTGGCTGCAGGGATATAAACACATCCTCCCAACAATGTGGCCTCAAACCCCATGGTGGTCAGAGCCCAGTATAGAATATGATTGACCTGGAGACACCACCCACCCCGGTTCTTTCTCACAATTTGATTAAAACTGGCCTTTAGGTCTAACTCCATGGAGTCTCCACAATGCAAGTTAAGATTTTTGAAGGGAACGGCTCGGATTTGGTGCTGAAGAATGTCTGTTAATGTTTCCAGGTCCAATTTGTTCCTAGAGTTCTTATAACCAATTCTTTCAAAATATGCTTCAATATCCATGGTCCCTGAGACAAGAAAAAGAAATCAAGAAGAAATACTATTTTTACACTAGGATTTTTCAGGAGTAAGTTAACTACAGATATCATGCAATTTATGTATGTAAATACAAACAATTTTTACACATATCCATAATTTTATATGAATTAACTTACATTCTTAATTTCACTAAATATTCTCAGTGACCCCAGAATAAATGTTTTATAATTTCTTTCAACTTTCCAGTATCCGATATTAGAAATCCAATTAAATACTGAACCAAATGAAAAACATATTACATGTGGTTTTCTCATTAACAAAAGAAAAGAAAAAACATATTTCAATTGATATCTATTAAAATAGGCTTCTGAGCTGAGCATGGTACATGTCTGTAATCATAGCACTCAGCAGGCTGAGGCAGGAGGATCACTGTGAGTTCAAGACAATCTGGGGCTACATAGTGAGTTTAAGAATAGCCTGAAATACAGAGAGACCTTATCTCAAAAAATAAAATAAAATAAAATAAAATAAAATAAAATAAAATAAAATTAAAATAGGCTTTTAACGACTTAGGACCAGGTAAATTACTCAGTAGAGAACATGGTATTTATTGAAACTGATTCACTTAAATTACTCAATAGCTAAAACATAACATTCTACAACTAAAGATTTACACTGACTCAGTCATTGATTGGTTGATTTTTTTTATTTATTCACTCATCAAGTACTGTTTGGACCTTTACAACTGAGTCTAGTCCACAGCACCAAGCCAGGGGGAAAAGCTTCATTAAAATTTGAAAAATGAGTGAATTACCTCCGAGAATATGTTCCTTATGCTTACATTTCTCATTAATCTATGAAATCCCTTCCATTTCTTTTCAACCTTAATTACACCAACACCTCTTCACATTTGTACAAACGAAATCCCTAGCAACCTGAGTCAGAGAAAAGAAAGGCCAAACTTCCCCAGTACCTATTTAGCTCTTTAACCAGAAACTATAAAGAATATATGTGGAAGAGAGATGAAAACTGATCTAGAGAAGTAAGGTGTATCACACACAGCAGGCCATTTGCTGCTTAAGTGATCATTCCTTTACTATTCCTTTTAAATTGTTTTTAAATTTTTGTTCTTTCCTCTGTGAACCTTCAACACTCAATCCCACTCCTTTGTTCTCTGGTGCCTTGGTACCTTTTGTTTTTAAAATGATAAAATGTTGAGTTGGAATTTAATAATTTCAGGTCCCCAAATAAAACCAGAATTTTCTAAGGAACCTCAATACTAGCAACATGTTGTACACGAATAGTGGTGTTTTGCAAATAAATGTAAAAAATTCTGTGCTGTTAAAAATGTGATGCAACAAGAAGGCACTTGGAAAGTAGCTTCTGGGGAAAGAGTTAACTGAAAATAGTATTTGCTTTCTAAATGGGACGGTAGCATCTCTGTGCAGGGACACAGCATCGTCTCAGTCTGACCACCCACACAGGAGGTTTACAGACAGCGGTGTGTACACACTCAGGGAGCCCACTGAGAATCCAGAGGATGGAGTTTTTGTACCGTTTGTGGTAAGTTGAGTTTCAGCTGATTGTCAGTATCCACTCCAAAGTCTTGGAATACTTCTTCTTCTGGGCACAAATTCTAAAAATGGTAAGGAAGACAGTTTCAAAAATATATATAAGATATTTTTTCTCAGAAATGAAAGAGTAGTTTTATAGACAACTGCTTATGAAGAATATGCAATCATCAAGAACAGACAGAGTTGACAAAATGGTAAACAACTGAGTTTCCCTGGCAAGGATTGGGAGGTAAAGGAAGCAGCCCCGAAGGGTGTAAGACTGGGGGTTCTGGGAGCCCCACAAGGTTTCACAGAAGCAGCCACCTGGATGATTATTATGGTAACGGGAAGGTGGACTGAAGCATGTTCCATGCCCTGATTGCCAACGATACATTCAGCAGACTCGTGGATTCATTTAGGTGGCAAAAGAACTACAGCTGGGCACACAGGGACAGAAGAAGAAAGAAATGGTCTTTAAAAAAACTCAGGGGAGACCCAGCTACATATATAGGAATCTGATGATAAAACATATGAAAATATAGTATGACACTGGGAGGAGGAAAAGATGAATATTTAAAACTTACATTCCAAAAAAATGCAATTAGTACAAGAAGAAAGACGAATGAAAAGAAGTTCTTAGGAACATGGCAAATTAGAGCATGTGAAATGGACTTATTAACAAAAAAAGAATCAGGTGAAGAAATAATCTAGTTTATGCACAAAAAATTATTTAAAGACAGAGATAATACATAACTAATGATAAAGAAGTACTGTATAAATGTACATAATGTCACAGTAAGTGTAAGAAAATCTTTAGATTCATAGTAAAAGGTTATGAAAATCTAAGCCACTCCAAAAGTCAACCAGAAGCTAATAAAAATGGAAAGGAGGACCGGAGATTTAGCTCAGTGGCATAAGCACCTGCCTGGAAAGTGCAAGGTTGTGAGTTCAATCCTCAGTACCAAAATAAACAAATAAATAAATAAATAAAAAGGAAAGAAGATTCTATCATACTTTCCCATCACTGAGACATAATATACAAATCCACAAATTAAAGAGGAGAGGTCTGTATTGGGTCAGAGTTTTAGAGGTATCGGTCCATAGTCAGCTGGTTCCAGGACAGGAAGCAGGGTAGAGGAGCCTGGCAAAAGGCAAAGAATTCATGGCATTGTGATGGGAAGAAGAGAAAATGCTCTTAGAGGGCCTCCCAACTAAGCTTCCTTCAGAACAGAAAACTTCCCCAATACTCTTCTAGACATTGCAGATCATATCCTTCAACATCACTGGATATTTGAAACCATGAGATTTCTAATCAGTTAATTCAAGAAAAGCAGGAATTGTTAGGAGACTGCTCCTTGCAGGATTAACTGAACCCTGCAGAAGACATTCTGTTAAGAGACCAAGGATAGTGGACATCACTAATAAAAGTACTCAAGAGGAAAATCCAATCCTTAGACACAACTATCTTTCAATATACCTACTCACTCACACAATAAATGAACATAAGTAAGTACGTTTGAGACAGAGTTTGAGAGAAGCTAAAGGACTGCCTTAAATTCTCACACCTAGAATATGGTAAGGGATATGACTCTCAACTCAGTTGGAACCAAGTGTCCCCATACCAAAGTATTTACAGCATTAGATCTCACCTAAATATTCCAAACAAATTTTAGAACTTGGAATTTAGAACCAAAGTGGAAGTACTCTTAGACTTCCTGTTGAGATCAGATTTCATTCCAGTTACAAAGTACAGGGCAAGTCAGTCAAGGAGTTTCACTTACCCAGTGCTCAGCCACTGCAACCAGGTAACAGACTGAATTCAATCCTGCTTCCTCCAAAGTCTGCAGAGGCTTTTAGTTGGCTTTCTGAAGTCTCCGCCCAGGTGTCTGGTGAAAATCAGCCCATGGATCTCTGGGAAATGTAGTTGCAGGGCCCCAAGATGCTCCTGGGGAGCCCAGGGAGTTTTTCATTGGAAAGGGGTTGAGATTTATATTAACTTCCTAATTTCATGTCTCAGGCTGTAAGGGGCAAAGATATTGCACATACTTGCTTCTCTTTGGGAGACTCGGACCAGAATGTTTATATATGATGTGGAAGTTCAGAGTTTTAAAACAGTACAGCAAATCCCCTAAAATGCAGAAGATAGGTTTTATTTACGCTCTAAATTTATGAGACTCTCCTCATCATCCCCTATAAGTTCTCTCTCTTTCTCTTTTCACTTTTCATTCTTCATTTTCTCATCTTCATTCTCATTTATCTTTCTAAAGTTTCTGCATAATGTGTCTGAAATTTGTCCTCCTATGTGGTGCATGTGTTCCAAGTGTTGTGCTGTTGTATTTCTGTTTCTGTTTTTGATCTACATGAATGATGCTGGTGTTTCTTCATACCATTGCAGTATCTGTTTTTCTATTAAACCCTGATTGATACGTTGTGTGCGTGTGTGTGTATTTTCCTGTTCCTAGAAATCAAATGCTAATTCTCTTTGCTATATAGGCACTGTACTGCTGAGTCACATCCTCAGGCCTAGTTTGAACTTTTTAAAACTGTAGTTCTTCCTTGGAATACATGGGTATAAATTATTTTTACCTTGATGAATCAGCACCATAGGTTTATCTAGTTATTAACCCAGGATTTTAATTCATATATAAATAAAGAACATCATGTTTTTTAAAAAGCAAAATGTGAAAACAATCAAATGAATCTATCTAAAAGGTAAGACATGGGATGACAATACTCCCTTACAGAAGCCACCTAGCCTAATAATATCCTAATGCAGCTGTGGTGGCTTGTGTGTAGCTGTCTCCCCAAAGCTTCATGCAGCCATAGGTGGGGTTTCCAGAAGTAGCTGGATCTACAGTGTGTGACTCATAGGTCAGTGCTAGGGTCAAGGGCACTAGGATTAAAGGTGTGAGTGCAACCTGCCCTAAGGGTGGATAGCCTGGATAAGGTAAAAGGGCAGAAAGACACTGTTAGGGTCCCTTGCTAGTTCTGCTACCTTCTGCCTACTATGAATTGTTTCTCCTCTGCAATACCTATTTGCCCCACCAGCCTGTCTTCAGGTCAGCTGATTATGGTCTGAAACATCTATAGACTGTGAACTCTCCTCCTTTAAATTTGGGTATTATATATTTTGTCTCTGCAACAAGAAAAGCAACTAAGATAGCAGCCAAAGGAAAAAATTTTGATTCACATTATGCTAGTTAATAATGCTTTAGTATACTTTATAGACAATAAGTCTTTCCAGATACGTGTTTTATAATGCATAATGATTATTGCTTTTAGATATGAATAATTTCATTCTGAAAGTTGAAAATTCTAAATATTTGATGTTCCCATATTTAGAAAAAAGGTTAGAAAAACTGACAATGGAAATATTTCTATAAATTAGTAGTTGTGTCACTGTCTTAGCATCTAGTCACATGTTTCTATTAATGGGGTTAAGCCATATTTTGAAGACTATTAGGTGATTTGGTAATAATATGTCTCAATTTTATTTGTTGCATTTTAATCCTAAATTTTTCAGATTATATTTTGTAAAAATATAAAAATTGGATATATGTTGAACGAATTTAATGGCAGCAGTTTTCTGTTTTCTCAACTCCCACTATAAATTACAGTATCTGAATTCATAAATAAATGAATGTTGGAGGGTTTTCATACAAATTATGTGATTCACTGCAACGCATCTATTATAGATTTTGAAAAATTGTGTGGTTGTTTTTTAAAAAGTCTCTTAATCATGTATACTGACATATTTATGAGTTAAATATCATGCTTTGGATTATCTTCAACATATCTGTGGGCACAGAAAATAGATCATGGATTTTTTACTGGATAATACATATTCAAAATATTATTATTCTATCATTTGTACTTTTGCATGTAGTTGAATTTTCTTATAAGAAATAAGTAGCTATAGTGATGGTGAAATTTAATTTTACTCATTCTAAGTAGTAAAAGATGAGATACTATGTCTGGGCACAAACTTTCTCTCCAAAAACATTTCAAATATACTTTTCATTGCTTTAGATGATCACATGCAGTAAGAAGGACCAATTCAAAATGACACTATTGTATTTATGCTTAGCTGTTGGTCTGCATGTGGCACAATCAGATCCATGAGGTACTATCAATGGACTACACTACAGGGCTTGAAACTTACAAGATACCAACTCAAATGTATTGGGAGAACTTATGAAGAACAATATTAACAAGGAAACACAGATGATAAAAAAACTTTGGTTAAGTTTAATGTTATCTTTGAATAGTGATATTGCCAAGAGTTACTCTTCCTTATTTAACTTTTCTCTTTTTGAAACCTATGTATCCTTCCCATATTTCCAGTATTTCCAACTTGCTCTGCTCTTGATGGCTGCAACAATTTGCCAAAATCTATAAGAGTAGTTGGACTTTTTTATCATCATCATTTGCACCAATATATTTCCTCCAAACCCCGGCTGTCACCCTCACCAAGCATACAAAGAATATAAAAAAATATTTGACTCTAAGAGGAAAATGTAGTTCTTACATGATTGGTCATTTGATTATGGCTTAAACAACCATGTCCTCTACGAAGAACTTGTATTTCTTTTAAATACTATAATTTATTTTTAAGTGTTTCTTCCACCCCCACACCTCTCTGTCTCACATACTTTCTTTGTCATCTTCTTGCACCCTGCTTATTATCCAGTGTTGTATTATCTGTCATATTGCTGGACACAATGCACAATACCCATAACCTAAAAGAGGGAGGGCTAATTTAAGTCATGTTGTATGGGAATTCAGTCTGTGATCAGCTGGCTTCAAAGCTGAAAAATCCTAGTGGAGTTGCATGGTGAATTGAAGCTGCTTCGTTTTTAGAAGCTGTGAAGAAGAGGAGGGGAGGACTACCAGAGAGGTCACTACCAGTGACCAGACATAGACCCCAAGGCCACACACCCATGACTCATGAGATATACCCCCACAAGTGTGCTACACTAATCCTCCAGGTGGATTTGAAAGCCAGTCTTGCTGACACACTACCCCAAGTGCCATATCTCACTCTTTGCCAATGTCATACCCAAACACACCTCACATCATGCTTAATCTCCAAATGAAAACAATAGCAAGTTCATAATTCCACAAAACATACAATAGCTATCCTGTACATTACTGAAATCCAGTGATCTCCTCTCCCCAAAAGTCCAAGAAGTTCAAACATTTTTCAAAAGTCCAGGTTTGATTCTTTCCTGAAACTCAAGACAAACTCTTGTCTGTGAGCATATGTAAAAATTAAAAGAAGTTACACAGTACCAAAGTACAATGGCAAAGATAAACATTCCCTTTACAAAAGGGAGAAATAGAGAAATGGAAAATAATTGCACTAAAATAAGACCAAAGCCAAGCAGGGCAAACATTAAGCTATAACTCCATAGCTATATCCAGGACACCTGGCTATGAACTCAAAGGTCTTGGATGACCCTGCACATATGGCATTGCCAGTTGCAGCTCACATGAACTTTTTTCTTTTGGGCTGAATTCCCTCTTGGCTGTGGTCTGCTCCATTGTTCAGCAGATGTTCCACTATCTTCGTATTTCCAACTTCCCGGAGGCTCCACCATACCTTTGCCTTTGTTCTGATAGTTCCATATGCTCTTTCAGGCATGTGGCTTCTCAGGTTCTTTTTTGAAATGTGGGTGGAAGATTTCCTGACCCTATAATTGTTTCATTCCGCTTGCCAGTAAAACTATCATCACATGGATTAAATTAAGCTCTACCAACAACATGAGCAATAGACACGCCTAGTTGCACTGTGGCAGCAGTGACCTGAGTGCAAGGATAGCTCAGCACTATTAAATAAATTTCCAGTTGACCAATTCGTTTAGAGGCCTTTGAACAAGGAGACAAGAAGATCTCTTCTGAAGAAAAATGTTAACATCTTTTCACAAATGAGCCCATAATGGGTGAGATTTTGTTAATTCATGAGATATTGTTAAGACATATTTCTTCATGACCCTGTATTTTTTTTAATTTAATAGTCACACATATTTCCTTCTGGGCCTAAATTTATTTTTCAAAATTTTATGCTCTTTTTTGATCTTTGATTCTCACTATAAATTATGCTAGAAGAAGCCATATATATCTATATCAGGATCTGAAAATTGGACTGTCTTGAAATTTCCTTCACCATATTAGTCTACCACCCATAATTTCTGTCTTGTGCAAAGTCTTAGGCCATGGGAAAAGTTTAGACAAATTTTCTGCCAGAGTGTAACACTGCCTCTGTACATTGCCTCTAGTTCAATTGCCAGTGGAATCTTTGCTCCCAACTGAAACCTGCTAAGCCTGGACTTTCTGTATTTGTAACAAGACTCTTGTCTTTTTAAATTCTGGTCATGATTACCCAGCAGGCTCTGATTATAGTATTTTAAGTGTTCTCCATCCTGCATTTCCAAATCTTTCTTAACTTCTTTCACAAACTAGTTCCAAATGCTCTTAACCACAGAGTCATATATAATTACAGCAACAACTTCAGTTTTTCTGTGTGAATTTTCTATATTAGTTGTCATTGCTGAACAGCATATTGGAAACCCATAATTTAAAGGAGAAGTTTAACTTGTGTTTAAAATGGATTCATTCCATGGTCAACTTATTACAAGTAGAAACATCATGGTAGTACATCAGGGTAGTACATTTCCACTGAGAAACAGAGCAGGGTAATAGTGCCGTCCAGGTAATAGGCCAGGGATTACATGTAATACTCAAAGTTCATGCCTCACCCAGAAAAACCCAGAAGTGTCCTTCACCCTTTCCATGGTGGATTTCAAAGCCAATCCAATTGACACTCCACCTTAATTTACACAAGTGCCCTTTTCTC